CCTGACTAATACGATTTCCATGTGTATTACTTTGCTCGGTTTGTCTCACTGCTTATACCTATGTAACATACAACTCTTCATACGATTAATGTAAATGTTAATGATTTACAGAAAGTCAACAGCCAATTTCAAATATCAAATAAAACCAATGACTGGTTAGTTTATTGTGAGTTGGTTCATTTTTGATGGATGCAGTACAGAATTTATTTTAGCACATGTTAATCAAAATATACTTTTTATATTTATAGAATCTGCAGTTAAATGTGATTAATTTAATAAAATATTCCCATTATAAATAGGACATACTTAAAACAGTGGTCAAAATTAACAACCTGTATTGCTTTGATGACTAAATGCATGTATGTATATTAAATAATCAATAAATCACATAGAATTAAATAGTTTTAGAACAATTTTAAAATGTTAGTCACTTAAGATGTCATGATTATTGAAAAAAGTAACTTCATCTATTAATATACAAATTATCGTATATGTTTTTTTTTTTATTTTGACACCAGAATGATCAATACAATGAGTATTACTCAGCAGGTTCTCTCGTTTTTGTACATTGTAATTTGTAATGCATCCTATAGATTTCATTATTTGATTGTAACAAAATTTGTTGGTGAAAATGTACAAATATAAATTTAAAAGTAAAAAATGTTATCCAATATTGATATGAATGTTATATTTCTCATGTTTTACATTTTTTTGAAAGAAAAACTATGGGATCGCTCCCAATTTCTCCACAGTATTCACAGTAGGATTTATTTACTTAGCAGTCATATGTCCGCATGAAGGTTGTATATAACAAAACACATATAGTGTATGAGTTTTCATGAAACACTTATTTTTATCCGTTTTGAAACAATTCTTCTACGAAAATAGTATTTTTTTCGAGCAAACCTCTACTACAATCTAAATTGCATTTTATTTATTATATAGAAAAGTTCGTCGATATGTCATTATAGATCATACAGATTAAGTTTAACCTGCATGGGAGGCTTAATGAGGTTAATATCATTGGATTAACATACTACTCCTGAACTGAAAATAGAATCAGCATGTCCTCAAGGCGGGGATAAGCGTTAAATAATACAGTGTTATTTTTTATCTCACTGGCAGTTGCCACTGCCAATAACAGATTTTTAAAGTTTGGATTCAGGTTCATTTTGGTTTAACTCATTTTAACTGAAATTAACAACATGCAAGCAGATTTGAAATCAAACACGCAATGGTTAATGCTAACATTTGATATGAAATAAACATCTATGATCTCTACGTTACCCCTTGAAGCGTCAACGGCTATAAATTATTGAAGTAGCGTTGCTCTTTTGGGTTATTGTACTCTCAGACTGCTACTCGGGTAATTTTATCTTCAAACATTTGTGCTCCCTTGATCAGTCTAATAGAACTGTCAATGAATGTTGCATTTTCTTTTGAGAAAGCACTAATTTTTCAAAGCTTTAATCAAGCAAGTATGTATTCACATATACTATGCGTTTTTTATAGACACGCCGATTTTGTACACAAAAATAACGTTCATTTATTTTCTGAAATCAGTATAATTTTAGAATAATATCTGTTCTTCAGTTAGTGAACCAACTTTTTTATCCATAAACACTTGAGTATATACTTAACTGCATGACAACAAAAAAACGTTTTTTTGGTACAGATCAACACATGCTATCTTAGAGAGCAGACGGCTTTTGACATATTGTGCACGTTTCACGGGAAACAGAACGAAACTATGAAAACTATAGCCGACTGATTACTGTTTTGTAAATGTTATTGAATTCTAAATTATATCGGGATTCCGGTACCGGTAATAAATACAATTTATTAAATTGTTAATTTATCGATTTGCAAATTATCCTGATTTTACGCAAGCAGTGCATTCATTTGACTCTTTTCCAATAATATGGGTGGTATATATTAGTATGTTCCTCTTGAGGAAGAGATTCGATGTTAACATTTTGTAGACAAAACTGAAGAATACGCAATCGCACAGATTTTATGTCCATGAGTTCCTACATATATACCATAAGAAACGCTCTGTGTCTTGAATCGTGCGTGATAATATAGTTGTTTCCGTTGCGGCGACCAGATATAAATATAGTCACGGTCACGTTTGATTATTTAGTAATTCTGAATTCTTGTGGTTTGTCTGCCCCTGGGGCAATTGAGTGCAGTTGAACATTGGCAATGCAGAAACCATGAACTAGAAAAAGCATTCAATATCTAGAGGTCAGTCGAATTATTAAACGTATCGTAAAATACAGTTTTTTAATATATACTTTAATTACACTGGCTTTAACATTGTTAATGCAAATCACGCCATGTCCTTGCTGCTCTGACAATACATTGTAATTGTTTCTATGTCGACGAAGACGTATTCCCTCGGCCCACGCGTATTTATAAATACGCCCACTACAGTTTGCCGTCATGTTATTATACACATCTTATTTTTTAAACTTAAATTCTATGTTTGCGGAATTAACTGTGAACTCCGTGAGCTGCATTGTAATCGAATACAATCCGGCGTGATAATCTAAAGTTATGGGCACCTAATCTGAAAACAATCGCACGTGAATGATTTTGTTATATATCGCAGACGTAATGATATTCGTGATGAATTTTTGAAAACATTTTAAATATTAAATTAAAGATAAAATGCGAATGTTTAATGGTGAATTCGTCCGTGAATGATGTATAATTCGAATAACAACTGCGATATATAGTGAACTACAATGGTAGAGAAATGGTTGTCATTTTATTCCTATTGCGTACAACTGCGATGCACTGTGCCGTAATCTGAGCACGAATCACACGAGATACGACTCGTTATGTTCTCCTGTGCTTAAAGTATGCAAGATTCGCTTATTGAGGTCTACCACACCTCTTATCAAAATATTTGCGACGCAGAAAAAATCGTTGTTGTATCATAACTTATAAATATATCAAATTGGAAATGAACAGTACCAACAGCGGAAAGTGCATTTGACGTTTCTTTCTGAAATGGAATTTGTACATTAATGCATTTGTTTACTACACGCAACATATTCCATTGTCCATTTCTTGAAACAAGCACGCCATATACATAACCTGTCTCAAATATTATTATTTTTTGTTGTGTTAACTTTGTCGTTCTACAAATAGTGTGGAATCATAATACAGCAATTATGTTGCACTGTGTGAGGTACATACCGATTTGAACTCCAAAATAAAGACAGCACGTGAGCAACAATGACAAACAAAACACAGCTGAACTTCAGGGACAGAGTTTAATTTCCATTTTGTCTACTGTATACCAGATAACAGTTCAATAAACCGATTTGTTTTAATACACTGCGCTTTATCAGGTCAAGTTTCGATATATTAAACGAATATTGATTGTCGGATTGGCAATTTATAAGTAATTCGATCAATACTAGTTAAAAACCGCCGGTAACACCCGTTTCTATTGTTGATGTACCTTGTTGCAGCTGTGTCATATTGAAATATGAAAACACTAAACGAGTGGCATATCGGAGGAAACTTTAGGAGAATATTGTAATATGTGATCGGGGTTTCATTGTCATCGCGCAGCAGGCGTTAATTTTTTTTGGGAAATAATGTATAGAACACGTGCTATGGGACTTATATTGACTACTACTACGTGGACGGATGACTATGGCTATGCTGTTTTATAGTAATTATTACAGCGTACGTAAACACCAAGTAATACACTAGTACTGGGTATGGAGCTCATATATAATGATGGTAATTGGCTGTGTTGGTAATGGATATTATCTCACTAAACGCGAATAATAGAAATCGCTTTATTAGATTCAGACGTCATTAATTGCTACACGTCTGGGGTGAACTTGACCTCATCTAATCTAGAAATTGATAAATGGTAATCATACGAAGACGCTATGAGGGATTACTATGGGTTCAATTCTAACCCTGTGTGGGCAGCGTGGTGAACACGAATATCATCAACGCAACGATTCCTTGCATAGAAATGTACTCATTTGCATATTGTTTTTAATCATACATTATTCTGATTAGCGAAACAGTGTAGTAAAATGGAGACTAGTTTGATCGTCATTAGAAATGACGAAATTAATTTTCTTAAATAATGATCGAGTTTAATAATATGCGGTTGGTTGAAATAAATTGTATTTTTCAATCAAAATTTGGGTGATTTAGTATACAATTAACTGTAGTTCAATGATGTTTCAAATTAAAGTCTAGTGTATGACTTCGGCAGCTTGAGCGGTGTATTTTATATAAGAACGTTGTACGTTTTTTCGTAGTATCAATCAACTCTGAAAGCCAGTTAATTACGTCATTCGAACTATAGCTATATAACAATGCATGAAACAGGAAATTGTCAGTTTGAAAATAAAATTTATCATTGCTAACCGTGCAGTGGTTTGTTGCCATGGTGCGTTTCGTGTTCAATAAAAAGCTCGCGGAAAATCTAGGTCAATTATACGAGATTGTTGCGCACACATTTTGTTTTCTTTAACTCGACGTCTCAAAGTATTTAGGGAAAGGTACCGACTCTTTGCAGTCACTAAAACGTCTTATTTGGTTATGATATATTGAATAGGTTGCAAGTGGCAATTATCATTGTCGTATTCATGATACGACATTAAACCTTTTACAGGGACTTCGAGTTTCCTGGTCTCTCATTAGTTTGCCTACTAAGCGTCTAGATGTACTCAATGCCGTGGCCTACTTGAACAGATCGCCAGTGAAGTACTTAGTAGCTATCATGATGTCACCGGGGAGGTATAAGGACACTTACAATTTTGCGATGAATCTACGCTACATATGGGGACATTCCGCGTGCCTGTTACTGCATGGAGCAAAGTGTCAAACACGAAGAATTGACTGAATTCACAGACTTCGCAGGGGGAAAGTAAGTTTACAAAGTACGTGATGTATGTATACAACGCATTGTTTGGACGGTTTAGATACGTCGTCCGTAATATTCTGATGTTACTTACTTCTCCCGTTTGGTATTACGACGTCTTGGAGGATTTCTTTGTAATCGGTGTCGTCTTCTTCTTCGAATTTCTGGTACCCAGCGAACGTCTTTCCATCGTACCATCCAGCTCGTTGAAATAAATGAAAAAGAGCACCACCGAACAGCCAACAGTCTCTGTACAGAGAAACGTCTTTGTCATTGTGAATAATTGCGGTTGTATTCCATTGAAAAGTTCTTAAGATTTCCATCATGAATTCGGCCATTTTTAAAAACGGTCCGTGTGCTCTAGTCAATGTGCGAAAATCGTCTAAGTTTTTCATGCCCAATTCTTTTGCTTTAGCGCCAGTCGTCAGGAAAGGTATGGCCCAGTGCGCGGCGAATCTGGCGACGGCTGCAGCGGCATAGTCACACGCTGGTCCGAGAAATACGTCCACCTGTCGCTCTGTGATAAATTCGACGGCACGGATGGGGGCTACGGCATTGGAACATCCTGAATCGACCTTTCGGATAGTGATGTTAACATTTCGTTCTCCGAAAAATTTACTCTGCAGCAGAATGCTTTCAACAGCGATGTCGATCGCGGGACACACCATTTCAAACCTGTACGGATAGTGTCGAATTTCCGGCGGTGTGTCAGTGTCTTTTGGAAGGATGACGGCCATTTGAACTTCAATTACTTCACTTTCGGTGCTTTCCAGTACTCCACTGAAAGCGTAGTCCGTTTCGAACATCGCAATCACAGAGAAGAACATCCAGAATGATAATTGGTGGCCCATTTTGGTGAAAATAACGTGAAATAGTCATACAACGCGAAGATAATACTCTTCAGAAGAAACGTTCGCACAGTTATGTTCCCCACTTTCGTTGCAAAGTCAGTGCTGCAACGGGCGAAGCCGCAGTACATGTCATTTTACCCCGATGTATACAACATGTAATGCATACTGCGAACGACATTCTAATTGGAGTGCACCAAACACCGTTTTGTCATATAATCAGATATGACCGACTCAAAGAAATGATTAAGTACACACGCCTCCTTTTATGTGACAATTCTACGTCGGTACACGGAAGACGGCAATTATCGTTCGATCATACTGGATCATTAGGTATACCAAAACATTACTCAGCGGATGACATCTCCTCGTTACCACAGTACTGAATAATATTTGTTTTCACATACATGCAGCTGTTAACTCACCTTACGGTACACCTAAGCGAATACACCATTTGCAATGGCTCGGTCTTGTTTTCCCCAAAGGAGTGAATCAATGAGCCACAAAGGCACTTGTGCACATGCGCAGTACAGATTACCCCGCAGTATTCTCCTCGTTTATTTATTTATTCATTTATTTGTTGTTTTTTTCACTCACATGAAACGCAATTAGTACTACAATCAACTGTGCGATAATCTAGTTTACCATAGCCTGTTTATTTATGTTTTGGTGAGCGGTAACGATTTGTTTGTTTGTCGTCTCAGCGAATCTTTCTGTTAAATTAAAAGTCATTTTATATTTCCACCCACACCGATTTATAGGCTATGCTAATCGTAACCGCGGGCAGTATTGACGAGGTCTTTGAAACGAAGAATTAAATACTTTCACAATTCGCTCGTTTAGACGCCCTGCCTGGCTATAGATTGTGTGCTTTATAATGTGTTCACTATAACCTCTGACCTCAGAGCGAAATGAACATTTCCACGTGCATTATGATGGCGATGTCAAGTCAACATTTCGACGCAGAAGTCAAATAGGGCAAGCTATGTAAACACATGTGCAGTAGTGCTTTGAGGAGAATGACACTATTACTGCTTCAACGTACCCGTCAGCACGACTCCCCAATGCTGTCACGACGTCTGAATGATATCATTAACGATCAAGTGGGGGTGATTTTTCAAGCACTTTCTATAAATAAATTTATAATTCAGATGTCAATGGTGAGATAATTTAGATCTGGTTTGATATTACCAATTATCCGATGATATAAAATAGAGTTCATTTAACTAACGCTATTACGATACGTATATGCAGGCATTCGTGTGGTTTGTGTACTTAGTTATTAATCGATAGTTTTGCTATCGGTATTACTAATTCTGCATAATAACACAGCGCCCTCACAGCTTAGATCTATAGAGACAACATCTCCGACACTTCAGTTTATATCTTCAATTTTGATGCAGGACTAAAGTCGTGATTATATTGTTGCTAGTTGTCGCTAAAAATTGATATTTATTATGAAAACTGGTTTTATTTACTTTATCTGAAATTATGACAACAACCCAAAAATGTTTCGAGGTGCAAGATCTGACGTACAATCTCCTAGCAACTGTTCACTTCATCTGTTAGTATGGAAAGTATTCGTTCATATCAATGAAATACTAGTACTGTGCCAACATCACTCTGTAAAAGCAGGTTTACACTTATAAAGGATACGCCGACAGAGGCCATGTAAGCTACACGTTTGGATTACTTCGCTACACATATTACAACAAGTTAGCATTCGTTTGCTTAAGAGTAGTCTTTTCATTTACATTTTATTAAAGATTGTACATCTACACTTAGAGGCAACAGTGCGCTGATTACTTGATCAATGTTGAATTACTGTTCGTTGTTCATCAGGGGGTGACGGCAGGACATGTAAATAAGATAAGTGTCATTCAACGTTTTAATAACATGATGCACTCTGGCTCGCTTTTTTGTAATGGTATTATTTGTGACGATGTATTAGTACTATCATGATTTATATTTCAGTCAGTTGGACAGTGGTTGTCATGACATATACTGATAAAGGTTAATGACAAGACCAGATGGCGAGCTGGTCGAAATCAACCAAAAACATCTTATGACTCTGCAGTTTTTAAGATACAAGACAGTAGCTGTAATTCTAAACCAATGTTGTTTGCGAGTTTAAAAAAGGTAGTATCTTGGTGGAATGTTAGTGCGAGATTATTACCCCATCAATATTAGTTAGTGTTGACAATGTATAGAAATGTTTTCTCTAGACAGCTTGACGAGTAATTAATTGATTATGATGTGTAAAACTTTCATGTGATTGGTTGTTTGTTGGAAGGCAAGGCCTTGGAGTCTCTTATACTGATTGTAATTGGTTAAGGGGTGACAAGAAATAAAGATGGATTTAATGCTGTCTCGGGTGAAAACCAGGGACTTGGCAGAGAA